GTACTATGGTATCTTAAGAAGTTCCCGGGTGCTGGTTTATTATTCTAGAAACATGGACACTTGAGGGTTGAAATTTACACAGATGCGGATTGGGCTGGATCTCAAAGTGACAGAAGGTCTACTAGTGGTTACTGCACCTTTGTAAGAGGGAACCTTGTTACTTGGAGGAGTAAGAAACAAACCATGGTAGCTAGATCCAGTGCTGAAGCTGAGTACCATGCAATGGCACACGGAGTAGCCAAAGGTAATGTGGATAAAGAATCTATTGGGAGAGTTGGATTTTCCAGTTGGTAAACCCATGACTCTACTCTGTGACAACAAGGCAACTATCAATATTGCTGCCAACCCGGTACTACATGATAGAACAAAGCACATTGAAGTKGACAAGCATTTTATCAGAGAGAAAATCATCACAGGCGAAGTATGCACTCCATACATCAGCTCTGAAGACCAACTTGCAGACTTATTTACAAAACGGCTAAAATATTCCAGACATCAAGGTGTCTGTGACAAGTAGGGCATGATTAATATCTATGCCCCAACTTGAGGGGGAGTGTTAACAGGTGTATTATATGTACTGTACACAGACTTAGTACTATACACAGACTTGGTACCCGCAGGGGTATTTTCATAATTCTGTAGACATATTGTTATGTACGGCCAGAACAATATAAATAGAAAGCTTCACTCGACTGAAGCTAAGTTTTCTTGAGGCCTCAACTCAGTTGCCTCTTATTCTTCTTCCTCTTCTCCTTCTTCCTTCTTCTTTTCTCCTTCTTCTTTTCTTCTTCTTCTTGGTCTCCTGCTCAATAGGAACCAAATGCTAAGTTGAGTATTGATGCAGGTGAAGAGTTTGATGATCCTGGAAGGTACAAGAGGTTGGTGGGAAAATTGAACTATCTGACTATCACATGGCCAGATATATCATTTGTTGTAAGTATGGTAAGTCAGTTTATGCAACATCCTTGGATTCCTCATTGGGAAGTAGTTCTAAGAATAGTTAGGTATCTGAAGGGTGCTCCAGGTCGTGGTCTATTATACAAAAGTGGAGGAACTCTTGAGATAGAAGGGTATACAAGTGCTGATTGGGCTGGTTCTGTGTCAGACAGAAGGTCAACTACAAGATATTGTACCTTCCTTGGTGGCAATCTTGTAACTTGGAAGAGAAAGAAACAAACAGTGGTGTCAAGGAGCAGTGCAGAAGCTGAGTACAAGGCTATGGCTCATACTACATGTGAACTAGTTTGGTTGAAGAATTTGTAACATGAGATGGGGTTCTCAATTGACAGACCCATGAGGTTATACAGTGATAATCAAGCTACTATACACATCTCTTCTAATCCAGTCTTCCATGAAAGAACAAAGCATATTGAAGTCCATTGCGACTTTGTAAGAGAAAAAGTGATTAGTGGAGTGATAACTACATCTCATGTGAGCTCAGGAAACCAGTGGGCAGATCTTTTTACAAAGGGGCTGCCTCGGGGCAAAGTAGATTACATATGTGAAAAGTTGGGACTATATGACATATACTCTCCAGGTTGAGGGAGAGTGTTAAAGTCGACAATATAGGGGTATTTTGGTCTTTTGTCTATCTAATTAGAAGTGAATGGTCTGTTTTATTCAAGTTTAAGTAATGTGTCCCACCTCTTGTAAGGGACAATACTATCTTTTGTAATTCAACTTATTCATTATAAATACCAAGTTGGTCGGCTGGGTAGAGTGACTTTTTCTCTTCTAGTCGAACCCTTCTGCCTTCCTTATGATGCCACTAATATGCAGCTTGCCAATGTCTTCACCAAGGAAGTCAACAAAATCAAGCTTGAGTCAAATTTAAGCAAGTTGGGAATGATCAATATATTTTCCCAACTTGAGGGGGAGTGTAAAGAAAATGGTTGACCAGCTTGTAGTCCCTACTTGTTCATATGTTTTTCCTTTGTTTATAGTGCTGTTAGAATACTGTTAGAATTCTTTTTTTCTATTGTTTCTAGTGACAGGGGCATTCCTGTCATTGTACCACTTATTGTTGTAGACCTAATTTTAAATATCACTTGGGGCGGCAGACCAAGCTGACCGAACCCCTCTTTCTCTTCTATTCTCTCTTCCTCCTCTCCTCTTCTCTCCTCTTCTCTTCTCTTCATCTCTAGTTTCCTTTTGTTTTCTAAACAGGTCTGAACCTCCTTGGTTTCAGACAACTTGATAGAAGTGATGAGGGAGAGGTCCTTGCAGATGTAAACCAATTTCAGAGGTTGATTGAGAGATTGTTGTATCTATCCATGACTCGCCCAAATATCACCTATGTTGTTGATGTTCTTAGCTAGTATATGCATGCCCCCAAAGCATCACATTTTGTAGCAACAGAAAGGGTGCTTAGGTACTTGAAGAAACATCCTGTAGAGGTCTCGTGTTTGCCAAACATGACCACTTGAGGGCAGAGGTCTACACAGATGCTGACTGGGTAGGCTTAATTGACGACCAGAGGTTTATGAGTGGTTATTGTACCTTTGTAGGAGGTAATATTGTTACTTGATGGAGTAAAAAGCAGGGAGTTGTTGCTCAATCAAGTGCTGAAGAGTATAGGGCTATGGCTCATGGATTAGCTAAATTAATGTGGATGAAAAACCTCCTAGGAGAGCTTGGGTTTGCAGTGACAATAAAGCAACCAACAACATAGCAGCTAATCCAATTGTCCATGGTCCCAGTCCATGAAAATATTGAGAAGGGAGAGGTATGTTCCTTATGTAAATACAAAAGAACAACTTGCAGATGTTATTACTAAGGGGTTGAATATCTGTGGCACAATGAAATATGTAAAGAAGTTCGGTATGATTGACATCTATAAACCAACTTGAAGGGGAGTGTTGTAATACTAAAGTTCTTGCCATGAGAGGGGGGGGTAAAAGTATCTTTTTATCCTTTTTAAGTGATGACACCCTAGTATAAATAACAATAAGGGTGTTGCTAACACAATCTTTGGTACTCCAATCATTTGAGTCTCTCTTCCTCTAACTTCTTTCTCTTTTCTCTTCTTCTCTACTCTCTTTTTTCACTGAACCATAGAAATAACTATTTTAATTTGCTAACATTCCTTTAAATTTTTATTTAATTGTTTTGATATTCCTAAACATGAAGGCAGCTATAATAATATTGAAGGAAATTGTAATTAATAGAAAAGACACACTTGATACATGAATATGCCGATACTCCTTTTTTTAGTTTTCCCTAATATTTTCCAGGAATTGGAGAACAGTTGATTCCTCTTCATCAATAAAGAAGGTCTTAAGGAACTGGGACACCCCCCCGTTTTCTCAAATTAAACTTTGATGGAAGCAGCTTTGGTAATCCAGGAACGTCTGGAATTGGAGTGATAAGAAATGACAAGGGGGTTGTAGTGGAGTTGTATTTGGGCGTTTGGGCTCTACTGGAATGGGAGAGACTCCACTACAGCTGAACTAAAGGCAGTGGTTTTTGGGATACAAAGAGCTACGGAATTGGGAGTGAGAAAGCTAGTTGTGGAAGGCGACTCCAAAGTGGTTATAAGCTGGATAAAGCAGAAAGAAAAGACCACCTGGTCTTTCATAAATGAAATCAAGAAGATTAAAAGCCTATCCAAGGACATGCAGTTATTAATTTAGTGAATTCCAAGAGCAGAAAATGGATTTGCAGACCAGTGGGGTAGCTGAGGTTACTCATAATCTGCACTATTTCCTTTTTCTTAATGAAATTTCCTATTATTGATAAAAAAAAATTTCCAGGATAATCCTACAAAGAACATAAAAGATTCTAATCATTTGGTATTTTCCCATGAATAACAAGATTTGGAATTTTGATTTCAGCAATTACTAACTTGAGCTAGTGGTCATTAAGTGCACAATGCAAGTTCCATTATGAATTGAAAGTTGGTCAAGGAAGATGGATTATAATCATAAATAATGCAACATGTAGTACTGTAATTACATGGGAAAACTGCAAAATTGGCATCCATCTTCTCTTCTATATGAGGAACAAAGGTAAGAGAATAAAACTAGTCCACATGACTTAGAAGGGGGAAAAAACTCACATGCCCTGTTCGAAAAAATAACTTTGTATACCCAACTTGATACATATCTGGAAGGATATTAAATTGCTGAAGAATGGAAACTGATATACTCAATGGGTCTTGAGAGACAACATTCTCCAATAGAAGAAATCCATACCTGAAAGGAAACAAAAGCACGTCATTTTTATCCAAATATTTACATGGACACATCAAGGGCAACGCTTGGGTAAAGCATCTGAGACGGGATTTACACTAAATATTCAAGTATCTAAAATGGGCATGGAACCCTTTTTGAAGTGTCCAAGAAAAATAACTAAAGAGGAATCGGTAAACTACTGAAAGTTCTTATCCACTACCTTGTAGCAAACTGCTGATGTGTCATTCGTATTGGATACCCAAATCTTGAGATCCTCACAACCTCCAGGACTCCACAGCATCTGAGCTGCTGCAATACCATATCCTTTTCATACACACCAGGAAGCTTCTTTCTGTTTGGTTTTATGCAACGAATAAAATGGGAAGTGGTGCTTTCCAACTGTTGCATTAGTTTAAAGAGTTGACCCTACATTCACAACAATATTCAAAGAAGTTTCAACTTTCAAATATACAGGCTGTATAATGTGTCAACAGTGGGAATTTTCAACAGCATACCAAAATTACATGCTGTGCAGAAAAGAATTTTGAACCACCACTTAAAATGTCATCTGTGAATTTTTTCCAGCTTGTGAAAACCACTGCTCTAAACTGGCTAGCAAGGAATCTCATCCACATGCAGGACATATTATATAAAGTAATTAGAGAATGTAGTTACCAACATGGTGCATTCTATCAATGTTTTTTTTTTTTATTAATGAATATAATTTATTAATTGAGAAATATGAGGCAATACAGTCGACCCAAGAGGAGGCACGAGTTGTTACCTCTTCTAACAAGTATTACATCAAATTAAAACAGACCTGACCAGAATTAACCAGAACTAAAATTACAAAGCAGCCCAAAATAAATGTTCCCTTGAAGCCCCTTGCTTAGCTAACCCATCCGCTAAGGAATTTACTGATCTTCCCACCCAAAGAAAGGTAAGTCACGTTTCTTGTGATCCAGTTGACTTTCCTTAACACATCTCTATGCCGCCACATAGCTGAAGCCAGTTCTGTCAGCCATCCCAAAACAATCTCAGAGTCCCCTTCAACTACCAAGTGCTGGACTCCTAATTGTTGTGCAATATGAATACCTTGTACCACCACTAATATCTCAGATCTATTGGAGTCTCCTTTTCCCATGAGACCTGAAAACAATGCTAATATTTTGCTTTCATTATTTCTCAGCACCCCTCCTATCCCCGATGGGCCCAGGTTTCCTTGGTTGCTTCCATCAAAATTCAGCTTTACCCATCCTTCAAGTGGAGGCATCCACACTACAGATTTCCTATCCTTTCCTTGTATGGATGTTAGCCACCACTATCGAATTTCTCCAAAAATCATCAGAGAATGTATGAAATAAGTCCATAGTTCTTAACCAATGAATGGCGCTAATTAAGATACAGTTCTCAACAGCTTGAGTGCTTCTTTCCTCCTCCTTAAATACCCTTGCATTCCTTTCTTCCCATATTGTCCACAAGGCGGCTGCTCTAATACATCTCCACATTATTTTTCCTTTTTTTGTAGGCCACACAAAAAACGAAGGATCAAACAGCTGACTTAAATCTGTGAACAGATTCCACCTGCACCCAAACAAAGAGAAAATCCAACTCCAAATAGCACTAGAAAAGGAACAAGATACAAGTAAGTGAGAGCAATCCTCACCACTAGCCCTGCAAAGTACAAACCAGTTAGAGGACAAACATAAAGAAGGCCTTTTCCTCTGCAAACAGTCCAAAGTATTAATCTTTCTATAAAACACCTCCCAACAGAAAATAATAACTTTAGGTGGAAACAGTCTAGGTCAAATCTCCTTGGTTGGAAAACCCCACTATCCCTGGGAAGAGCAAAGGGATTTAAAAAAGGAAGCACAGGTGAAGTAACCTTTTGGGTGAAGGGACTATAATCTCACATCCAAACTAAGGGGGTCCAAAAAGACACGGCCAAGAAGGGACAACAGATCTGAAACACTGTTAAGTTCATCATCCCTCAAGCCTCTCCGAAAGCCAAAGTCCCAACTTAAGGAGGGGGATGCATTCTATCAATGCTTTTGACCTGGTTTTGGGCTCATCAAGAGTATGTGAAGAATTTCAACTACATCCACATGCAGGACACATTATATGAAGTAATTAGAGAATTTAGTTACCAACATGGTGCGTTCTATCAATGCTTTTGACCTGGTTTTGGGTTCATCTGACCCAACCTAGGAATAGTTAGAGGTGCAAGTCGGTTTACCTGAGCTGAAGAATTTCAACTACATCTGGATCATAACTATGCAAAATTTGACAAATACTCAACCCAAGTGTCATGCTAAATAAGGTACTGTACAGGTTGAATCATGAATATTCAGTCTGTAAGCTCCATGGAGTGGCAATGGTTGTTATGCTCTGAAAGTCTGAGAGGAAATGGATTAGGGAAGGATAAGAAGTGGGTAGACCCCTAGAGGGGCTACACTACATACCATCCGATGAGGGGTCGAGTTGTTGTAGTTCCCTGTAGGTCAGTGAGAGTCAATGTTGATGAGAGTAGAATTTATCACATTTTTATCCGCAAATATTCTGTCTTGCATACTTAATTAGTACTTAATTGGACTCATATTTCTTGCATTTCGGTTCAGGGCATGAAAGAAGGCATCAGGAGCAAAGAAAGGCAAATCGGATGATTTTTCACAGTTTCGGCACCGTTCAGTAATTTGGGCCTAACTCGCGTATCCGAACTCCGATTGGGCTGATTCAAGACCCACTGGATAGATAAGAGAAAAAATCCACAACTTTCATGTTTTGGGCTTTCGCAGATTCGGCCTACATCGAAGTCAAATCCGGGCCCAAAGTCGGGGCAAATTCGTAGGAAGGCCCAATCCGCAGCTTAAGCCCAACTTGCAGAAAAACCTAGCAGTAGCCCAATTCGCAGAGGAGGTCTAATACGAATCCAAGAACAAGAAACTGAGAAGAGTCTTATCAGATCTAAATTTATAATGTAATCCCATAAAGATAAAGAGATAAGAATAGGATTAGACTAGGACTTTCTATTTTTAAGAGATTAACTTCAAGAAAGAGTAGGAGACCACCCCCTCCCCTTAAGCTATATAAAGGGGTAGGGGGCGGACTAGAGAGGCATCAATAAGCAGAGGAGCAATCAGTCAAGAAAGCAAGAAGACTGCAAGAAGAAAGTGGCGGCAAGGAAAATAGGAGAACTCAACTCCAAGGGCGAAACCATGAGTTCTTTCTTTCCTCTTGTTTGTTTTATTTCTGCTAGTATGAACTAATTTATTTGTAGTWAGGGTTGTGGAAAGCCTAATCATATCAATGAATATATTTTTATTCTGGTTTATTCAAGATCGTGATTTCCATATAATCTATGAATTATCTTACTTAATGCTATTAGCAGTGACCATCTCTTAATTGATCAGGCGTATGTGAATGAATCGAGAGAGGAATTCACATAGCTGACCATATAATTCGTGGTGTGAATTGAATGGTATATAGGGGTACATACACATGATTCATCTGAATATAATAGTTTTTTCCTTGGACTTAATACGCTTCTATCTTGAGAACTCTATTCAAGAGATCGAGGGGTTACCTGATAGAAGTAGTTTTAGTATATCTCGAGAGAGAATATTAAATAAAACTGGAAAAACTTCAGCTTATGGGAATAACAAATTATCGTGGACAATCTCATCCATTAATATTCATTGGAATGTGTTTTGGAGCAGCAACAGTAATCCGAACCAGTGAAGAAGGAAGAAGAAGATGAGGAAGAAGACAAGAGAAAGAGAAAACAGGAGGGTTTAGTCGAAAACTGATTAGTCACCCATTCAGTCGACCCCCTTATGTTTATTAGATTCTAATTACACTTACAAAGACTAAACTGCCCACACTTAAGTGTGGGGCAAAGTGCTCTAATAAAACAGCCACATAAGCAAAGTACTTAACTGACATGAGATTACTAAACTACCCCTATTCGGGTCACTCTAACACTCCCCCTCAAGCTGGAGAATATATGTCATAGAATCCCAGCTTGTTACATAGATGATTCACTTTCCCTGAGTTTAGAGCTTTTGTAAACAAATCTGCCCATTGATCATTCGAGCCCACATGTTCTGTGTTTATCTCTCCAGCAAGGACCTTCTCCCTCACAAAGTAGCAATCAACCTCTATGTGCTTTGTTCTCTCATGAAATACAGGATTGGATGAGATATGGAGTGCAGCTTGGTTGTTACAATACAATCTCATAGGTTTATCCATGTGAAACCCAATTTCTTGTAGAAGATTCCTCAACCACACTAACTCACAGGTAGTATGTGCCATGGCCCTATA